TTGGGGGGAGCCAGATTCCCTTTCCTTTAAAGAAACCTTGTGTGACATTTATCATTTCAAGAGCCCTGAAGTTGGGGGCAATGACTGTCAGTAGAGAGGAGGGAAGGATGTGGTCAGGACCTAAGAAGCAGGGCATGGGTCTGCGCCCCAGAAGAAAGCGAGGGGGAGAGAAACTTTTGAAGCTGCTTTGACAGCCATCAAGCTCTCTTAATACCGCTGGCAAATGGACCTGCCACACGCCAGAGTCTCCCAGAGCCAAGGACCCCTGTCTGGTCCTGGAACCAGGGTCTCCTCGGCTTTCAATGGACAATCAGTCATCTGTCAGGACCCCCCCCCCTCCACTCCAGTACTGTGACTCTCTTCTGTTCATAGCAGAATCAGGCCCCTCATCTCGAGGCTCGTTTTGCTGGCTGACCAGTATGATGGTCAAAACCTGAGTGCATGTTCTGGAGAATGCAAGTTCCCCCAGTCTCAGAACCACAAACAGATATTGGAAAGGAAGAGAAATTACAAGGCCCAATCAAGCTGACCACATTTACCTGCAGAAAGGGGTCCCGGTCCCCCCAGCTCTCTCTCATCTTTGAGGGGTCCTGGGTTCAGAGCTGCCCACTGAAGAGAACGGAGGATAGAAGATTCTGCGCTCTGTGGTGCAGCTCCCTTCCCTACCCCTCCGAATGGGGCACCGGGACTCACAAACCAGGTGCCTGCCAAGAAGCACCAGTTACTGGCCTTCACATTTCTCTTGAGCACTGGGTAAACCAGTTAAACTCGTCTTGCCTTTCCAAAACTGGCTTTTTTTTTTTTTTTTTAAATCTGGCAGGTGGCTACTGGAGGCCTTCCAACCCACGGCTCAGGCCAACCCTCATAATAAGAAAAATACTACTTTCTATCTGTCTCATTTAGGAGGTTTCTACTCCCCCCACCCCCGCTTTGGTGGTTAACTAAATTTCATCTTATATAACCGATATAAATTTCCTAAAAATTTCCCCAATTGGTGCCAGCAGCTACAGGAAGGGTGTATGTGTGTGTGTGTGTGTATGTGTGTAGATGGGAGTGACCAGGAATTCCAGTGAATCTTCACAAGAATATAGCATTTCTTAATCCACTAAGAAAGTCTCAGATTCTCCCCTTTCCAGAAAGATTCTGGGAGTTCTACACCTCCCAAATGCTTTAAGTCTCTTCACTTTTTTCTTTTTTGGTAGAAGAGATAAGGCGAAGCTGGGGAGGTCAGGATGATAAGAAATCACTGGTAAAATGTTACTGGCAAAACCAAAATAAATACCTAGAGGTCCGACCTGGGACTTCGGCCTAAGGCCCTGAAAGGCCTGTGCCTTATCTGAACTAAAACAGGCCCTAGACCAGCCTGGAGACTCACACTCCATATACAAACCCCAAGTGACAAATGCCTTTCTCTTATCTGGAAGGGTTAGGTGTCTTTAGAAAAGACAAAGACTGAATGTGAGGAATCCAGCTGTGATGGAGGGGCCAGGCCACTGTTTCTGAAGCACTTTCCTCACCTTAAAACAAATTCCACTCATGGGACCAGGAACAACATGCCTTTCTTTGCCTCAGGTGGTAAAGGACTGGTTTTTGCAAAAGAGATCGTCCAGTTTAAAGCTTCTAAGTTACACTCACACTCACACTCTCTCTCTCTCTCACACACACACACACACACACACACACACACACCCCACCCCCCCAAAGAGGTAGCTTTTCAATGAGAGGAAGGAAAAAGTGAGAAGAGACCAAGAACAGCCATGGTTGTGCCTCAGACTGGTTGGCCAACCTCTGCTTCCTCTAAGGGGACTCCGACTCTGAGTGTGGCTTCTGCAGGCGACCTGTGCTCGGGCTGGGCTGTCAGGACTGCTCTCCAGGGCTGCCTCTCTTTGGAGGCAAAGAGGAAAGGCAAGGAGGACACCTATGGCGGTACTGGCACGTACGTGCTCACGTGGAAGAGGCGCTGCCGGTATCCCGGGCAGTTCTCTGGGAGAGAAGCCCATGCCCTCACCTCCCCCACTGTCCAAGCCGGGCATGTGGGTCCTCCTTACAGAGTGGCCCCAAGAGCGCTCTGCCCTCCACAGCTGCCCTGCAAAGTTCTCCCTCATGACGCCAAGAGCCCAGGCCTGTCGGGTGAGCCCACTCTGAGGCTGCTTTGTGTTCTCATGACAGCAAGGCAGTGTCCACAGAGAACTCTGCCCAGCGCCCCACGGGACAAAAAGCAGCCTTCACGGGGGTGCTGCGCACGTGGGAAATAAGTGAACACGGTTTCTGAGGCCACGGCGGGGGAGGGCTGTCAGCCGCGGGAGAAGACTGTTCTCTCCCTCCCTGGCCCCAGGCAGAGACGAGGAACGAAGTGGAGCTGAGCATCTTTGACGAGCCTTACGGGGAGCCCAGAGCTCGAGGGACGAGACTCAGAGACTCAGCATCAGTCAGTCCCCAGGGATGGGACAGGCTGTCCCCTGGGGGGAACGGGGGCTCCCTGGACAACCAGGGAGGAGAGGAAAGGGAAGGACACCTGGGCTCAGAGATGGCAAAGGTCACCAGACCACGTGTATCTGAGACAAAGGGTAACTGGCCAGCCGGCCCACGTCCAGAATCTGTTGGCGGTGCAAGAAAAGAGATCAGAGAATAGCAGGACGTGTCTTCAGGAGAATCAAGTAGATCAGATTCGTCAGATTAATTTCACAGGAACAATCTGGAATTATCTGGCCTACACAGGTGGGTCTGAGGAGGCAGGAGCCCAAGGAAGGTCTGTAAGGAGAGTCGACCTGGGAAACTTGCATGGACAGGATGGGGGTCAGGTGATGCGGGCCCACCTCCTGCCTGGTCCTGGGGCCCTAAGAAATCTCAGCGCTGTTTTCCTAAGCATCGCCGTGACTCTAACCTACAAGGCAGTCCGACGTTGGGGTCAGGTCGGGCACACCCCTCTCAGATCCAGTGCCCATTCTCGTAGAAGACACAGTTCTCTGAGGAACACGGTTTGAAGACCAAACGAAGCACGTAAGGATGGAAAGTCCAAGAGTCACTGGCAGCACAGGGTGCAAGGAACTCAAGAGCAGTCAGTCCACTTCAGAAAAGGATGAAAAGAGACCCAGGGACGGCCTTGCATCTCTTGGGGCAGCTGTAACTTCCTGGGCACTGACCATGTGTCAGGCTCCAGGCTGAAAGCTTTTATGTGTTAATATCTCACTTTATTCTGACAAAAATCCTATGAACCCTGTACTGAAATCCCCATTTTAGGGACCAGAAAACCAAGGCTCTACAAACTGAGCACTTGTTCAAGACCGCACAGCCAGTACGTAAGTGGCCAAGGCAGGCTCTGAGCCCAGAACAGTTGGGCTCCAAGCCTCCCCCAAAGTAAACCAGGCAGGTGCTGACCCTCGTTTTGTCCACAGAGGTGCTGTGGCAGGGGGGTTTCACTGAGTCCCCCGTTGTACTCACAGCTCAGCCCCGCGGCCGCCTCCAAGGCAGGAGGCAGCACAGCCTCGGGGCAGCGATGAGGCGGCAGGTCAGCATTCTCAATCCCCAAAGGTGTCCACAAATCACAGCTACTCTACTGTGGAGAGTCAGGCTGAAGCACTGTGCGCAAGGTACAGCCCAGACTCCCTTCCCCACAGAGGGCTGGCGCTCCCGCTGGGCCCTCTGCCGTCAGCTGTGTGACCAAGGCCTGTCTCCCGACCAGAGGGGCAAGGAACTAAGTGGGTGGAAGAAAGGGCAGGGCTAACTGGCCACCCAAGGGACTTCCAGATCCCGCCCCTGTGCCTTCCTCCCTGCTCCACTCCTCTTGCCGGAAGGCGGGGTGGACATGCTGCCCAGAGCCACGGAGGCTGCAAAGACCCTTGCTCAGAGCTCCCCCTACACCTCCCACCCCAGCCAAGCTCTTACCGTTGTAGGAGAGGCGAGGTTTGCTCAGACACATTATAAAGTGCATTTCCATCTCGTCAGAAGCCACAGACTTGGAGCAAATGGGGCACTTGAAACCTGAAAAAAGAGGAAATAGAATGAAATGTTTTTTTTTCCAAACCAAACATATCCATCATAAATGTGGAAACTCTTAGGTGACTCTGGCCATTGTGGGGTCAGAGTCAAAATGGTGAATTACAGTCTAGATACATCCTACCGCCTACTTCATTAAAGGCAGGCAACATTTTGTTTTCTGATTACAGCCTCCAATTCCCATTTTTTCACTGGGGCTCACCCTTGTCATGCCCCTTGCTGAAGTTTATCAGAAGTCACTGACAGCTGATTTGAGTTTTATTTTCTTTCAGACCCTTTCCCCTTTCCCAAGGGGGTCCAGTGGGCAACGGGGACAGGGAGGCATCGATCTAATCAAGGCAACCAAATAATCTGTCTTTGAATAATAAGAGTTAAATTTAACACCCTTCCGCCTCCCAGCCCTCAAACCACTTGGCTGGATCACCTGTGGAAGGAATCCCTATAGTCCTGGGCACCTCCATCCCTCATCCAGAGCACCTTTCCTCCCGTGGCTCAGGCAGCTGTCCTCCGAGAGTGTGCGAGCCACAGGCGGCCCTCCAGAGCACTCCCAAATGCCACACATGCCTTGGCCATATGCCACCAAGAGTAACAGCTGTTTCACAATGATAGGCGACAGACCCTGCTGTTTTATTCCCGAGGAAGTTTGCTTATACACCCAGGGAGTTTCATCGGAACTGTATCAGTATTGGAGACTTTGGTTGAGAATCTTCTGAGCTGAACTCCATTAAGCAAACCTAGTCCTTTGATCTATTTTTTAATAAATTATTTTTTGATCTATTTTTATAGATAAATACAGTTCCACTATTTTCAATTTCCCCCATTACAATTGCTTTCAAATGGGGAATTCCCTGGCAGCCCAGTGGTTAGGACTGCGTGCTTTCAATGCCGAGGGCCTGGGTTTGACCCCTGCTCAGGGAACTAAGACCCCACAAGCCGCATGTCGCAGGCAAAAAATAAAAAAATAAAAAATAAATTACTTTAAAATGGATTACTTCTTTTCCATTCTACCAAAAAGACTGAAAAGTTATCTATTTATTTGTCCACATCGAATTTTAAACATCACAGCTGCTCCCTTTTGTGACCATAATCCCTACTTTCTCAGTCTGGAATTCCTAGGTCAAACACAGCACTACACTAAAATATTGTTGTGAAGATCAGACTCTTCTGTGAATTTGCAGTCAGAATGTCCCACGCACAGTTTCACTGGATGCTGGTAATATCTATCAGCAATATTTACTATGAGGCGAGGGTTCATGTTGACTGTTAGCTGCTCCAGAAGAGGAGCTCACGCCTTCACCAGTGTCCTTCCCGAGTGGAGTCGCTCATTCTGTATGGAAAGCCCTCCACTCTGGCAGCTGGTGGTGCTCAGTCAGGAAGCAAGCTGGCTCCCACGTTCCCGTGTAGGGCACAAGCACTTTGCTTGAAGTCTTCTCCAAACCCTCCTCTCTTCAGTGACAATGCTCTGAGCTCCAGGACCAGACAGAAAATCCACAGTCCGGTTCACTCCAGGCAATGTGGACCTCAGACTCCGTGGCACCGTTCCCGTTCCTCCAACCCCTTTCCTCAAAGAGCTTTAGCATCTAAGTGTCTTGGCTAAAAATTCTTGGAAGTGCTACCATCCCGAGGACTCTGGCCAAGCTTTGAGAAAGGGCTGTATTTTCTGATCTCTGGATGCTTTTGAATCCATTAATGACAAAACCAGAAGACAGAAGAGAAACGTGATGGGGGAGGGTCCATCCCGTTTCCTGGCACAGGTGAGTAATGAACTCGAGTCTGGTAGAATGAGGATGCTCTTCACATTCAACCTAAGTCCCTCTGTACCCTTGAATCTACCCTCATGGCTGTGCCCTGCAAATAAACCAGTACTTAAATAACATTCCATAGAATGACCAGCCATTGGGAGATTTGTTCACCCTTTTTTCTGACTCAAAAGACCAAGGTTGGTTCTTCCCTGGCGGTCCAGTGGTTAAGACTCCACGCTTCCAATGCAAGGGGCACGGTTTCGACCCCTGGTCAGGGAACTGAGATCCCAACATGCTGTGTGGTGCGGCCAAAAAAATAAAAATAAAAAATTTATTTAAAAAATGTTTTAAAAAGACCAAGGTTTTGCAACGCTTTGACTACAGGATGCTTCCACGTTAAACTTGCTAAGTTAGCACGCTGTCTGCGGGCTGAGGGCTCAGGGCTGCGGGCAGGCCAGGATGGACGCACTCCTGACAGGTTCTCTAACACTATGTCCTGATGCAGCCACTGGGAGGTGGTAAAGTGATTTCTTACTAAAGAAAAGCCCTTCACCTCGTACATTACTCACTTTTCTGATAACTCAGAACAGAGTCATTGTTGTTGCTACAATAGCATCATTCAAACCCTCACATCCCAACGTGACTCCTTGAGTACAGGTGAGGGGTCAAGTTACGGCTACGGTGCTGGGAAGAAGCCCGCCCCACAAGAAGGTCTAGGAAGGAATGTCACCCGATGCTTATGTCCTAGGAAAAAACAAGTTGAGACTCACAGGTTTAGACCAATCCTCTCACTGTACAGATAAAGAAAGAGACCCCAGTGAGGCCATCAGTCAAACAATTTAGGGGCGGAGCTGAGACCAGAATCAGATTTCTTAGCTCCCAATCTAAAGTCCTCGCCATTAGGGAAGAAAAAGCTGACCGCAGGTGTGATATTGTGATTTATAGTCAGAAGTATATATTTGGTCTTTGTCCGGTTTCTGGCATAGAGCTCCTAAAACCCTTGGAATTCCCTAAGACCAATTATATTTGGTTTTCTGGCATCACTTCTTGAAATAGCTCCAGAGCCAAAGGTGAAAGGACGAAAAGGAATGTCTTGTTATTCATAACCAGCCCCTTTCAACCACACCAGAGTTTATGTTAATGAGGTCACTTCTGGAAAGCCCTAGTTAACCTAAGGATGGGGGCTGGTTGCCAAGGGAAACAACCATGTGATTAGAGGACTGGAACTTTCAGCCCCACCCTCGACCTGGAGGTTGGATCAATCACCAATGGCCAATGATTGAATCAATCATGCCTATGTAATGAAGCCCCCATAAAACTCTAAAAGGACAGGGTCTGGAGAGCTCCCGGGCCGGTGCACACATGGAGATTTGAGGAGAGTGGTGTGCCTGGAGACTGTTGGCCCTGTGCCCTTTCCCCACACCTTGCCCTGTGCTTCTCTCCCCTTGGGCTGTTCCTCAGTTACATCCTTTTATAATAAACCATTGATCTGGTAAGTAAAATGTTTCTCCGAGTTCTGGGAGCCACTCTAGCATATTAAACAAATGTGGGAGGAGGGGCATGGGAACCTCCAATCAATAGCCAGTTGGGCAGAAGCAGAGGTGACAACCCGGGCTTGTGATTGGCATCTGAAGTGGGGGCAGTCTTGTGGGACTGAGCCCTTGACCTGTGGGATCTGATGCTATCTCCAGGTAGATGCTATCAGAATTAAGTTAATTGCTTGGTAGTGTTGGGAAACACATCTCGGAACAGGGTTTTAAAAAAGAGGTGGGCTGGGAAATATTATGTCTTGCAGGAAACACCACTATAGTAGGGAGAGACCTATATTCTAATGAAAGCAGGGTCATTACCACTTGCATCACCTAACTCTGCGTGTGTGTGTGTGTGTGTGTGTGTGTGTGTGTGTGTAAGGCTCAAAAAAATAACTCAGGGTCTGTCATGAGTGGGAAAGACCAAGATAACCTGGCTTTTCCAGCCTCAAGATCTTGGCAAGTTATCTACTCTCCCTGGACCTCAGTTTTTCATCTGAAAAATAGAGACATTTACCTCCCTTTTGAGGATCAAGTGAAATAAGAAACCTGAAAGCACACTAAAAAGAAGCTAAACAAATGAACAGTGGTATCATCTTCATCAAGCCAGGCAGTGCTTGACAAGGAGGAAGGAACAGGCTGGAGAAGGGATGTGGGGGGTGGGCTGAGAGATGGGGGTGACGGACCAGCAGGGCACATTGGCCACAGGTCATGCAAAAGTGTGCTGGGGGTGGCCAGTGGCCATCACTGCTGGTCGCATCTCTTCAGAGCACAGAACTTTGGAGCACTGTGTGTGGCACTTTCTGTATAGCCGACGTGGCACTGTACACACTGAGGTCCCTGTCTAACCTCTATGGCACCCACTTGTGCACATGATGATAAATAACAGCTTGCATTTACGTTGCTATGGGCAGCCACTGGGTTTTACGTGTCTTCTCATTTGACCGAATATGAGGCAGGTACTAACGTTAACTCTATTTTGCAGAAGAGGACACCAAGGTAGGTTACTTGCCCAAGGTAACGCAGCCAGAGCGCCAGAGCTGGCACACAACCAGGAAGTCTGACCACCCAGTGTGCACCATGTTCCCTGGGCTGTGGGACAGGCTGACTGGTACAGAAGGAGGAGACACATGGCAAAAAGGATGTGAGGGCTTCTCTGGTGGCGCAGTGGTTAAGGATCCGCCTGACAATGCAGGGTACACGGGTTCAATCCCTGGTCCGGGAAGATCCCACATGCCGTGGAGCAACTAAGCCCGTGTGCCACAACGACTGAGCCTGCGCTCTAGAGCCCGCGAGCCACAACTACTGAGCCCGTGAGCCACAACTACTGAAGCCCACGAGCCTAGAGCTCATGCTCTGCAACAAGAGAAGTCACCGCAATGAGAAGCCTGCACACCGCAACGAAGAGTAGCCCCCACTCGCCGCAACTAGAGAAAGCCCGTGCACAGCAACGAAGACACAACACAAATTTTTATAAATTCATAAAAATTTATTTTTATAAATAAATTACAAAAAAAAAAAAAAAGAATGTGAAATGCTACAAAGACACAAGGTATCACCAAATATTCACCTCAAACCTTCCACATCATCCCAGCAATTTCTCCTGAAGCACCCATGGTCCTGGATAATCTTATAACCTGTAACAAAACTGATAATTTTTTCCTGGGAATTCTGTTAATATGGAAGGACAGAGCTCTGCTTTCCACTCGGGCAC